GGGCTGCGGCCGGCGGCCATTTTGCGGGTTCCCCCCGAGGCGCGGGGGAGGGAGGCCGGGCGGGGGCTGCCCGCGGGTCTCCAGCGCGGCAGGCGGCGGGTGCCGCCCCGGCTTCCAGAAGGATCCCACCGGGGGGGGCCTTCCCGGGGACAGGGCGACGCCTCTGCAGCCCCGGCACCCGCCTGCGGTGGGGAGAGGGAGGATGCTGTCCCCGCTGCCCGTGGGACGAAGCACACGGACCCCTTTTCACCCCAGAGCTGCCCCACTCTCCCCTCCAGAGCAGGTGGCTCTGGCCATGATGCTGAGCCATCTTGTGCCATCATCATTATGCTTCAGAGTCAACGATGGCGCTGGAGGGAGCAGTGGGCACCCCAGCTGGTGCTCTTGCCGGGGGTGGCGGGGGGTGGCTGTCAAAGGTGCTGCAAAGCCGAGGCTCTTGCTTGCCCCACAAGGACGAGCTGCTGCTGACATTGCGCTTGGGGGCAGCTGGGCGAGGGACGCCATGTCACTGCGGGCCAGTGCCGGCGGCTTCTGCCTGGAGAAGGGGGTGGTCCCTGAGCAGAGGGACTGGTGCAGAGCCCCATGCTTGGCCACCCGGGCTCCCAGGGAACAGCCCTGCACCTGCCCCATTGTCTTCGTCCTCTGCCTCTTCATCCTCCTCTTCTTCCTCCCCCATGGGGCAGCATTCCCTCCCTCGGACCCTGCAGACCCCCTGCGCACCGGGGTCTCCTGCCTGCTCAGGTCCCATGCCTCTGCTGTGGGGCTCGGGGAGGACAAGGAATCAGCTGAGCATCTCCCCTGCCCCTCCCCCCCCCGGCCATCCTTCCACGCCCTGGTGCCCGGAGCAGCCCCTCGGCAGGTGGCCTCGGTGACATGGTGGGGGGGATGGCAGCAGACCCCCTCCCCGGGTACGGCCAGGGGTGTGGTGGGCTCTGCCATCCCCACGCGCTGCTGCTGACCTCCATTTTGTCTGGGAGGTGGCAGCCGGCGCTGGCACAGATGCTGCCGCTGCCACCCCCCTGCCTCCCTTGTGTGGCCAGAGCTGCAGCCCCCAAACCCTGGGGAGTGTCAGAATCTGGTGTTCCCCCCCTCCCCGGCTGCCCACCCCTCTCTGCCCAGCCATGCTGGTAACCCGCTGGAGCTCACTGCCTTTTCCGTGCAGCTTTTCTCTGCTATGGGTTTTAGCATGCGGAAGAGAAGATGGAGAGAGCGGGCAATGGAGTGTGAGATGACTCGCCTTTGCAGTGGGGATAAGGAGCTGGCCAGCGGCGAGCGAAATGCCTCATCCATGGCCTTAAATTTGCTACTTGCAAATTTAATTCACGTTGAAATTCTCAGGGAGCTGCAAATGCTGCCCTGATGCCATGTCCCCCATTGGGCTAGGTGGGAGGTGAGGGGGCACAGGGCAGGGTGCCCATGATGGCACCAGGGAAGCGGGGGGCTGTATTTCAGCTAGGGCTGGGGGGGCACCTGCCCCTGCCCCTGCCCAGGGATGTCCTCCAAGCTGCTTCCCCACCTGTGGGTGCTGTGCCGGGGAAAACTGCACCGTCACAGCCCCTTGCCCTGCGCGGAGCAGGAGGCAAGCAGGGAGCAGCCGTCGGGTTCGGCAGGCCTGCACCGATGGTGCCGCGTCATCTGGAGCAGCTGCCCCCAGTCTGCCACTGTCCCTGTTGTCCCCAGAGGGAGGGCAGTGTCCCGTGGTCCCACATGGAGCTGGGGGACCCCAACAAGGGGTGCAGGGGAAGGGCTCATTAAAACAAAGCCCGTCAGTGGCTGAGAGCACCGTGGCTTGGGAGGCGCAGCCAGACAGGGCGTCCGTCCTCACCGCCAAGGTGACGTGGGGATGCACGCAGACAAAAGGAGAAACTCGCCTTGGATTTCCCTAGGTGCAGGCAGCTCTTCATCTGCCAGAGCTGCCTGCGGCCCCAGCGAGGCAGCCCCTGCCCCAGGCTGGGCACAGGGAATGGGGCATCCTGGCCGTGCCGACCCACATTAGCATCGCTCAAACCCCGGTGGTCTGCAGCACCCAGGGGACAGGCAGCACGGCATGTCCCCGCAGCATCGTTAGGGGAAGAGTTCACTGCGGGTGGCACTTGGGGACAATGCTCCCCGTCCCACTGGTCGCCTCTTGGTGGTGGCAGGGAGGCTGCCAGTCAGTAGCCCTCAGACTTAAGAGAGCTCTCGTTAGCTAATCTCTGCCCAATTAATCTTAGCTGATCCAGTTAATCATCGCTCTCTAGGCCTTTCGCTCATCACTGAGAGCTGACGGGTGTGCTGGTAGGGATGGGCAGAGAGCAGTGGGCTGCACAGGAAGGGGGGGGAAGGGGTGCCCTGCAGAGCTGGGGGACAGGTCTGGATGTGCACCCTGGCACCATGGCCCTGGGGACTCTGCTGTCCTCCCCTGCCATCTCCTTTGTGTGTGGGGTGGCCCCAGGAGGACGTGGGGAGGGAGCGGGGAGTGGGACCACGGTGCTGGCCCACTCCCAGCTGAACGGCTGATAGCGGCTTATTGAATTTCTCTCGATGGTGGATTAAGCAGGTGGTGGCCGACTGTCCCCAGGCAGAGTGAGCTGGCTGGGCTCGAGTTGCCTGCCTGCCATGGGGGAGGCTTCCTGCCCCTGCCCTGCCTGTCCACAGCCTGCCCGCTGCAGCATGTCCCCTCTCTCTGCGGGATGCTGAGCACCTGTGGCCAGTGTTGCCAGTGCTGGCCGTGGCTGGTGGTGCTGCCACGTTACCTGGGGTGCAGGCTGAAATCCTCCTCGTGGCCGAGCCAGGAAAATAAGTGTCGGGGGAAGGAGCTGGGCAGGGGGCTGTCGGTGCTCCCCAAGGGGACGCGGTGCTGCCTGGGGTCCTTGTGCTGCTGTGGCAGAGGTGGGACTAGAGAGCTGCAGAGGAGCAGGGGGGAAGTGGCGTGTTGCTGACCGAGGAAGCTGAAGAAAATGGATGGAGACAGAAAATGGAGCCCAGCTTGCGGCTTTGCAGCAGGGAATACCGGCAGGGAGAGAAGCCTGTGCCGCTGGGCTTGGCAAGCCAGATGGCTTGCTGGGAATATGCCGGATGTGGGCATTGGGATGGTAGGGAGAGAGGAAAGGTTCTGCTGGCGAGGAGGGGACTTCTCACAGCCGGCGAGGGTGGGCTGAGGGGGTACGGGTATGGAGCTGAGTGGGGCCTCCCAGCAGAGGAGGGCGAGCAGCCACCGATGGAGGGCATACAGCAAGATGAGATGCCCGGAAAAGTGGGACGAAGGAGAAACTGGAGCTTCTTTGTGAGAGGTGATAGGGCTGGAGGGGCCTGTGATGGGAATGGTGCTGGGGCGGGAGGGAACAAGGGCAGGGTCTGAAGCTGCCCGTGGTGGACAGTGGTTGGTCCTGGGGCTGCTGGGGTCGCTGCCGGGTGTGCTGTGCTGGTGCTGGTGGGTCTTGCTGAGGGCTGTGCTGCAACGTGGAAGCCTGGGGACCTGACCCACCTCTTTGTAGCCTTGGGAGCTGGAGAGACAGCAAAGTGGGGGAAAGAGAGCTGTCCAGGTTGTGGAGGAGGGAAGCGTTTGATGCAGGCAGTTGTCGGGTGCCGCGTGGGGTTTAGCCCAGCAATGGATCCATCGTCCCTGAGCACCAGCGGTGCCACAGGGTGGAGCAGCTCAAGCCAATGGCCTCGTGAGGATGCAGCCCTTCCACCCAGGAATATATCCCATCATTTCATGGGAAACCCAACTTTTTTGTTTCCCTTTGGCGAGGAGTCCTGTTTAATTTTTCCTTTCTCCCCCATCTGAGAAAGCAGCAGATTGGGGAAGACAGAGGCCTGTTGGTACATGGCAGCCCGCTTGCCAGCTCAGGGACTCAACGGTGGTGTTAAATGCCCGCTTAAAATAATCCGTGCTCAAGAAAGCCTGAGACCAAATGCTTGAACTCTGGAGCTGGTGGGATTTAAGGGTGCGATTGCTGGCTGAGTGCAGTGGGAGCTCCAGAGCCGTCCCAGCAGGGCAGGGAGGGGAGGGCTTTGGAACTCTAATGGGAGAAGATTTGTCCTCCTCCTGCTGTCAGGGATGCAAGCTTGCTTTTAAAACAGGTGAAGCATTTTTGAAAGAGCGCCCAGCTTATAATACTTTTTGGTTGCAAATTTTTCCACTGTGCCATGAATATACCTGCCTTTGGGCAGAGTATACATTGGTTTTCCTCCCATTCCCTTTGGAAATGAAACCAGAGCTGTGAAACCTCAGTTAGTTTTAAAGCCATCCCCTTCTCTTGGGACACTTTCCCTTTGGTGGATTTATTTTTTTCTTCCTTTCTTTTACCTCCTTTTCCACAAATTTTTCATTTCTACTGTGGGAAAACCCATCTCGTGTTGAGGACCCATCCTTACTGGTCCAATTCCTTCAGGTCATGGTCCGTGTAACCAGAGCTGCGCCATTGCTTGCTCCTGGTCTCCTTCATCCCAGAGTGAGCATCCTGCTGGCAAAGACCAGGCTCGAAAAGCCCCAGGGCATTTGTAAACACCCTTGCAGGAGTCTCACAGGCAGGGATACCGGAGGAGCTGATGCCTGCCTGTGCTGCAGGGTGCTGAGCTCCTCTTCAGCTGGCAGGCTCATCATGAGGAGCCAGGGAGCAGGGGATGGGCAGGAGAGGGGATGGACATTAGAAGGCAGGGATGGATTTTGTCAGGGCTGATCCCAAAGGACCCGGTGGCCAAGGGAAGGACCCCAGCATTCTTTTCTGGCCAATGCTAGTGAGTCTTAACTGGGGCTCGGGGAAGGTGGGACCAGCTGCAGAGAGCCTGGGCACCAGTGCTAGGATGAGTGGCTGCTCTGGGAGATGTTAGAGAGCAGTTTGTTTCATCTTGTGAGGTTTGTGATTAATAATTTATTAGCAAAAAGAGTGGAAAAATGATTGTGACCTGGGAGCTTCAGCTGACTGTGATCGTCACCGGCTTGCTGGCTGGTGCTGCTGCTGCTGACGCCGCACATCTGCTTTTGCCGGGAGCTGAATGAGAGGCAAATACCAGCAGTTGTGTTCAACAGCCGCCTCCTTTCTCGACATGAATGCCATCGTTTTCTCCCCCCTCACCTCCACCCAGTCCTGCTGCCGAGTCCCTGCTCTGCTGGGGCTGGAGCAGAGGCAGGAGGCTTGGCTGATGGGCAGGGAATTGTGGGCTTGCTTGCAGGTGAGGGGCTACCTGCTCAGTGCTGTTGGCAACCCAGGATGGAAAACACTCCTCAGGAGTCATGCTGATGCTGACAGTGCCTACATGGCCCTGTCCCCTGCTGTGGGTGCCCACCAAGTGAGGCCACAGGGTGATGGAGGCTCTGGGTGCTGCCCTGGGGTAAGGATAAGGATGTCCTCTGGGACCGAGCAGGGGGTCCTGACCTGAGATACGGGGGGGAGGTGGGAGAGGCAAAATGTGGGCAGATCGAGGGATGAAACAAAATGTCATCTTTTGGGCAGAGGCAAACCAGCATTCCTGGGAGGTTTTGTTGCACAGGCTTTCCGTTCATCTTTCTGGCACGGGTGCAAGATGGGGATTGGGATGTGAGCTTTCCTAATGCCCTTTTCTTCCCTCCTCGCAGGACAGCCGCTGCTCCCCACTAGCAGGACCCACCTCCAGCCGGCGCAATGGCGGGAGCATCCGTGAAGGTGGCAGTGCGCGTCCGGCCCTTCAACTCACGGGAGATGAGCCGGGAATCTAAATGCATTATACAGATGTCAGGAAGCACCACCAGTGAGTGCCAGTGTCAGGGGCAGAGGGGCTTGGGAAGGCTTTGCATGCTGCATGGTGAGAAGCACGCATGGTCTGGCCGTGGCAGCGAGCACCAGGCTGCTGGGATCTTTGGTGTGGACACCTGTAGCCCCTGGTGTCATTTGGAGGAGGGAATCAGGGGGTGATGTCACCTTTCCCACAGGGAAATGCAGTCCAGCTGTTGAAATGGCAGTGGTGGGATCTACATGGCACCGAGTCCTTGTGTTTCGGTGGTACTGAACAGGGCAATGAGGAGGCAATGAGGGAGGAAGAATCAGAAGATCCTGGAAACGCTGCTGCATGGATGTAGGGCCAAGGGTGCCTGGCCCGTGGTCGCCTGCCCAAGCATGGAAGCCATGCACCGGCCGGCAAGCAGCTCCTGATGGCACTGCCTGGCTGGGTACCACGCACTGCGGTGTGCCGCGACCCATCCCTCCCTCCGCGGGGCTTGGAGCCGCAGCACCAGCAGGATGGAGGGGTGTGGGGGGGTTTGCTGAGGGAACAGTGTGCTCGGGGAGGGGGGATGTAGCATGGGGGCTTTGGGGCCAACTGTCCTGTCAGGAGCCTGTCTGGCTTTCGCTCCTCTTTACATAATGGCTACGGGAAGTATGGGGTGGGAGAGGTGGCTGAATCCCTCCTCTGGCTCTGGGAGCCTCCAGATGGGGCAGCATCTAAAATAACTCCCTCCCTGCCTGCCTGCCTGCCCCGGGCTTCCTGCGTCACCGACGGCGGTGGGTGAAACGCCGGCTCCAGCTGCCCCCGCGGTGCACGCCGCTGGGCTGCCATGACAACCCTGGTGGGAGGGAGAGGAGGGCACCCAAGGGTGCAGGGTGCCTCTGTGACCCCGCCGGGTCCCTCCCTCACCCTAGGCCTGGGGAGCAGGAATGGGGGGGGTCCATGGGGTAGCATCTGCCAGTCTCTGGTGTCCTGGGGGTCTCTCCCTTCCTGGTTGTGCAGGGATGCTCTGTCTGCCTGGGGTGCGGAGCTGCTCCCCCCACTTTACTGGCCCAGCAGGAGCTGCACCTGTGCCCGGGCCTGGGTGCAGGCAGGAGAAACGTCCCTTCTGGCCCTGAAGGGTGGGGGCGACCTGCCCCCCCAGGCCCAGGCCCAGTCAAAAGCATCAGGCATCCCCCACCTCGGCCACGGCTGTGTTTGCTCAGAATGATCGGCCCATGCCCATCCTGCAGCCCCCAGCCCTGCTGTTTGCAACCCCCCCTCCCCAGGCCATGCTGAAGGCCCCTTGTCCCCCTGCCCGTGCTGGGGAGGGCTGGCAGGGCTGTGGGCAGGAGCAGGGCAATGGCCCGGCCAGCCCTTTGCTGACAGCGAGGTTTTTCTCCATGAATGGACAAACCGTCGGCTAATCCCCTTGGCCAGGGGGCTGGGGGGGCTCTGGTGCCTGCTTGGGAAGGCAGGAGGATGCCCGTAGTGCCGGCTGCACCCCCTGCAGAGTGGGAATGTCTCGGCCCCCCTGGCTCCTCACAGAGAAGCCAAAAATAAATGTGTTTGGGGGGGCGAGAGCAAGTTTCTCTTTTCCCAGGATTATTTGCAGAGAGCCCTGCACATACCGGAGCAGGGCAAGTTGTTCTTCTGCCTAATGCGTTAAGCCCCGTGGGGGGGCAGCGGGGGCCAGGACCAGAGAGGGTGAGCCCTTCTCTGCCATCCTTTTCCCCACCAAATTTACAGCCGCCGCCCCCTTGGCTTGCTGCAGCACGGCCGCCTGCCAACACTGCCACTTTGTTCCTGTGGCGTCCCCCCCTCTGTGCAGCCGAAGGGACCAGCCAGGGCACCAACACCCCGGGCCCCTCTCCTGGCAGCTCCTGCCAGGACGGCGAGGAAGGGACCCCAGCTTTCATCCTGCAAGGCCATTAATATTCTCTGGCCGGAGCTGTGCCTCCGCAGGCTTTAAAATACAGCAATTATTTTCTCTCCTGTGGGTCTTGGTTTTTTTTCTGCTCGGTGCTTGCCCACTTGCTATATGCTCTGCCATGCTGCTGGCTTTTCAGGGCGAATATGAGGATCATCTCCAGATGTTTTCCTCCTCCCCTCTTGTCTGTATGTCTGTCTTCCTCCCTCCCCCCTGCCTTTTTTAATCCCCTTTGGCCAGAGCACGAATCTTTTGCAGCAGCTTTGCAAAAGCCCTGGGATGCTTGATCACAGGAGAGGAAAAGACCCACCAGCAGCATTCAGCCATGCTGAGGCAAATAAATGGGAATGAAAGGGGCATGGGGAGAGCATTTCAGGTCAGGGACGGGAGACCTGCTGCTCTCAGTGTGCTCCCTTCTCCCCTCTGTTCCAGTCTCTGGCCTGCTGGGCCAGCTGGGCAGCTGCAGCTGGGATACCCAGAGCTGCTTGGTGCTGTCCCCAGCTGCTCCTCCGCCCCGTGCCTGGTGTGGGCTGACACTGGGATGCAGAACAGCCGCCTTGTGCAACCCCATGCTGCCCGCTCCTGCTTTTGCCCCATTTTTGACTCATTTGGGGGGGGGGGTGGAAGATGCTCCCGTTCACTCTGATAAGGGTGACCTCCACAGGGCAGAGGCAGATGTGAGCCAAGCGCAGGGGGGCTGGGTGGCATGGCAGAGCTGCCAGGTGAACCCCAGGAGCTATTGGAGATGCTCCACCTGACTTCTTGCATGGCCTCTGCACCCACTTCTCTTTGCAGCGGCCACTTGCACACCCTCAACACACCAACTTGGCATCAGCAGGGACAGGCAGCCCCCATGGCTGCCCGCACTGCCCAGAAAGGCCTGGTGCCGTTTCGGTCTGGATCTCAGTGGGGACCTCCAAGTTCCCATTTGTGGCTGCGGGATGGGCAGTTACTATGGACATGTCACTTCCCAGCCCTTTCTCCTGAGAAAGCAGCTCTGGCTTTGGTAATTAGTCTGCCTGGGATGCAGGAGGCATCCGGAGCATCTGAGTCATGTTGTCTCCAGTGGGCAGGCAGGCAGGGAGCCAGCGCCCAGCCCCTCTTTGGTGCTGGTGCTAGGCTCCTGCCCACAGCAAGGGACATCTGAGCAGCACTGTGCTGCAGTTTTTGCAGTCGAGGTTGGATCCTGCCCCCGTTTCCCACCCTCCACCTGCCTGCCTTGCTGCCTTTGTGGGCAGGGATGGATGGGTCTCAGGCCAGAAGTGGCAGATCCCTCCTGGAGGAGAATCCATCATGGCAATGGAGGAGGAATTGGGAACAGAAAGTATCTACATCTGTAACGCTGTGCGCCAGGACATCTGAGCCCACAGGCAGCAGGCTGCACCATGCCCGGGGCTGCTTGGGAAGGTCCCAGCTTGAATCCTGAGCAGGCGCGAGCCCTGGCTGAGTGCCGGCCCTGGGGCAGGGCAGGTTGAGGCTGCAATGGAGGGAGCTCCATTGGCCTCGGTGCTATATGGCCTCCTTGTCCCCGGTGGTGGCAGGAAGCAGCTGTGGGCACGGGAGCTGCGCTGTGCTGGCCTGCAAGGTCATTTCAATGTCGCCGAACATGGCTGATGGCTGGATCTTGTGATTACCCTGCCGGTTTGGGTTTCTTCTGACGCATCTGTTGTTTCAGAAAAAAAACCATCGTAAATGCTTTACAGGGGGAAAAAAGTGGCGAGTGAGGAAGAGAAGTGATGCAGTCTCTAATTTCCATGGCAACGTCCTTTTCATCAGGGGATGGGAAAAAGCAGGCTCTTGTTTCCGCTGGTGGTGTAACACGAAGCATTAATCACCCTGCTGGGGCTGGGTACCCAAAAGAAAGCACAGGGGAGGAGAGGCAGGAGCCGGAGGAGGCCTGGGGGAGCCCTGATGGGGCCGTGGCTGCTCCCACCCCACAGCACTGATGCATGTGGCTTTGGGCATGGCCCCCCAGCTGTGGGGTGAAGGGAGGCTGTGATCCTCCCATGCCAGTGCTGGTGCTGGTCTCCCACGGGCAGGTGCCAAAGCAGGAAGGAGCTCAAGGGAAGGAGACGTTTCCCTCGCTCTGTGCCCAGCGGGATGTTTGGGCAAGGCTCTGCCCTGCTCCCTGGGCTGGTGCAGGCTCTGCCAGCCGTGGCATCCACCTCCTTGGCTGGGACTGTTGGGGACTGGGGGCTCTGGACCCAGCTGCAGAGCTGGAGGGTCCCAGTCCCACTTTCCAAGACCATTTCGGACTGAACCCCATCACCCTTCTCCCCTCACAAGCGGGATGTGGGTGGCGGGGGTACCATGGGTGGACAGGTGGCCTCATGTTCCCATCTGTTTGCCCCTAGCTATCCTGAACCCGAAGCAGCCCAAAGAGACACCAAAAAGCTTCAGCTTTGACTATTCCTACTGGTCCCACACCACGGTAAGCAGCAGGAGGTCTGAGCCTGCCTGGAGCACTGGGCTGGGCTGGGGAGAGGTGGGAGGACCTCTTTGCCAAATTGCTCCTTGTCCCCCTCCTCTCTGCAGCCCGCAGACATCAACTATGCATCTCAGAAGCAAGTGTACCGGGACATTGGGGAGGAGATGTTGCAACACGCCTTCGAAGGCTATAACGTCTGCATCTTTGCCTATGGGCAGACGGGTGCTGGAAAATCCTACACCATGATGGGGAAGCAGGAGAAGGATCAGCAAGGCATCATCCCGCAGGTACTGCCTAGTGAAAAGCTGCCTGTTCTGCTGGTCCTAGTGAGATGCCAAAAGGAAAACTGGAGTGGAGAGGGAAGAGGGGAGCAGGGTGGGAGCGGGGCCAGGCTTTGCCGAGGTCTACGGCAGCCCTGCTGTGGCAGTGAGCCAGCGTGGCTGTGCTGGAGGGCGGGGGAACAAGGAGGGTCATGCCAGACTCCTCCAAGACCAGATGAATTACGCTCTGGCTACATGAGGCTGGTGTTTGTGAGCAGCAGTAGTCCAAATGCCAAGCTGGTGGCGGCAGTGCTTGCCGAGAGCTGCCGCATGCTGGTCCAGCAGAGCACTGGGGCAGGTGCTCTGGGGATGCTGAACTCCCCATATCAGCAGGGGGGCTTCTGCCAGCTCCCCAGGAGCCATCCCAACACTCAGGGGCTCTGGTTTTTGGGGTGAGAAGGTAGAAATCCCTGTGGCCAGGGCACCCCGGGCAGGGGCATCCTTCTGGTGGGGGGCTGAGCAGCCTGGCTCTTCTCTCCGCAGCTGTGCGAGGACCTCTTCTCCCGCATCAATGACACAACGAATGACAACATGTCGTACTCTGTGGAGGTAGGCACCCCATTGCCTGTCCAGCTCCAGCCTCCCACCCAGCTCTGCAAGCCATGCCGGTGTGCAGCCCCCTCTTTGGGGGTCCCGTCCCTGGGTGTGGGGTGGGGTGGGTGAGCAGGACCTGATTGTGCCTATACACTGAGTGTCCACGTCCTGCCGGCTGCTAGCCCTGCCTGTGCCCTCTGCTCTAGGTGAGCTACATGGAGATATACTGTGAGCGCGTGAGGGACCTCCTGAACCCCAAGAACAAGGGGAACCTGCGGGTGAGGGAGCATCCCCTTATGGGCCCGTACGTTGAGGACCTTTCCAAGCTGGCTGTGACCTCCTACAATGACATCCAGGATCTCATGGACTCTGGGAACAAGGCCCGGTGAGTTGGGGGAACAGGAGATGGCCAGGATTTGGAAAGCTTGCAGACATTTCCAGAAGGTCCTGCTTAACTTCCTTGCTTTGCCAGTTTGGCTGCTCTGGAGGTGGCAGTCCCCTCCTGTCTGAGCATTGGGTACCCCCCACTTATTTTCACCTTACCTCCTTCCTGCTCTCAAAACGCCCTGGAGCCAGCAGGAGAAAGCCTGGACTTTTGCACATCTCCTCCCAGAGTCCTCTCCTGTCCTCCAGACTTGCCTTCCCATCATGTACCCTGTCCTGAAATGAGCCCTGGCCTCATTGCCAGCCACTCTGGTGTCCCCTGCAGAGTGTCATACCTCCCTGTCCTCCTCTCCCCGCAGCACGGTGGCTGCCACCAACATGAACGAGACCAGCAGCCGCTCCCACGCTGTGTTCAACATCATCTTCACACAGAAGCGGCATGACGCTGAGACGGACATCACCACGGAGAAGGTGAGAGCAGAGTCTGGGGGACGTGGGGGAACCTGCATGGACCCAGGAAGGGCTTTGTGTGCTATCGACAGCACTTGGGACGAGATGGTGCGGCCTCATGGAGGGTTGAAACAGGATGGAGATAAGTCCCAGGCACACTCTGGGCTCACAGTCCCTCGAGGGACTGGCCCCTGGACAGGATATTTGGCAGCTGGTGCCCTCCAGCCCTGCCTGCAAGGATGTTAGCCCTGCTCCTGGCCAAATCCTGGCAAGGATGAACCCGCAGAGCCCGCCTCTGCCTTCAGAGCAGTGTCACCTTGCAAGAGGTCTTTGCTCCCTCTTCGGCTCTGTGCCAGGGCCTGGTTTGTTGTGCCTGCCAGGGCTGACAGCCTTGTCTCTGCCTGCAGGTCAGCAAAATCAGTTTGGTGGACCTGGCAGGGAGTGAGCGAGCCGACTCCACTGGTGCAAAGGGCACAAGACTAAAGGTGAGAGCTGGTGTGGGGTCCCCTTCTGCCATTGGGAACGCCGTGTCCTGCCCCCTTGTCCCCAGCTGTGACATGTCTTTTCCTTGCCTGGTTCCTTGCCCACTATGCTGCCAAAATCCTTGACGGGGTTTTATTTGAAGGCTGCCCAGTGCCAGTTCCACTGCAGTCCATGAGTCCCACCTGGGAGGTGCTGGTTACCCAGTAAGACTAGCTGCTCTTTGCCCATCCCCTGCTGGGACTTCCCAATCCTCCTTGTACACTGGACTTTAGCGCCGCTCCGAAATGGGGCCTGAGCATCTGGGGTTTTCCTCTCTCCATCAGGAAGGAGCAAACATCAACAAGTCCTTGACCACACTGGGGAAAGTCATCTCTGCCTTGGCCGAAATGGTAGGTAGCTGGAGCACAGACGAGCAGTGGCACTGTGTGGGAATGGGCTGAGCTCAGCAGGGGTGGGGTCAGCTCTGAGGGATGGAGCATCCCAGCTCTGAGGGATGAGCAGATACATCCCAAGCTGCCCCCAGGGCTGGGACGAGGTGGGCTGGTGAGGCTGCTCTCTCGCTGCGGACCTGCACCCGCTGCTCTCTGCTTGGGGGATGGAGAGCTGTGGTGGGCGCTGAGGGGGGGAGCAGCTCACTTAAACAGTCTTTTCCCTCTCTTTGCAGGATTCGGGGCCGAACAAGGTAGGTAGCCTGGCCGGGCTTGTGAAGGGGGGGTTGGTTTTTAGTACAGGTGGTTGCGAGTGGGTGGCAGGGTGGCTTAGGGGTGAGGCTCTGCCCAAACCCATGCCATGCTTCTCCTGGGGGCTGGCAGAGCCCTCAGCATCCTCCTCACCCTGTGGGTCTCAGTACCCAGCGTTTAACACCCGCCCTGGCCCAGACTGGGCATTTTACATGCAGGACCTGTGGAGCTGAGCAGAGCTCCCTGAGGTCACGGTAGACAGGCAGAGCCATCCTCCTCCGAGTCCCCATGGCTGGGGACTGGCTGTCACCTTCCTTTTGAAGAAAGCAGGCAGCCTGACAGCCCTTCCCTCCTCTCTCCATCCCCCAGAACAAAAAGAAGAAGAAAACGGATTTCATCCCCTACCGGGACTCAGTACTGACCTGGCTGCTGCGGGAGAACCTGGGTGAGGACATGGGTGGGAGGTGTGGGCTCAGTGGCGGGCATGGCTGCTAAGCAGAGGGTGACGGCTGGGGCAGGGACCAGCATCTCCCTGATGTGGGTGTATCTCTCTGGGCAGGTGGCAACTCCAGGACGGCCATGGTCGCTGCTCTCAGTCCTGCCGATATCAACTATGATGAGACCCTCAGCACCCTCAGGTAGGAAGAAGTACCCTTGTCCCCCCACAGTGGGCGAGGGCAGGGGGGGTGTCTGAAACCCAGGCACTGCCACATGCTCTCCTCACCTCTGTGGCAACCCTGGCTGGGGTGGTGCTGTGGGGGGACCCTGCAACCTCAGACAAGGGGCCAAAGGATTGTCCCAGTGCTGGGATGTTCCAAAGGTTCGTTTGCTGGAGGGGCTTAGTGGCACTCCCACTTGCCCAGCAGCTGGGGGTTTGCCCCCCCTGCCGCTGCTCAGGGTTCTGCCCTTCCCTAGGTACGCTGACCGTGCCAAGCAGATTCGCTGCAATGCCGTCATCAACGAGGACCCCAACAACAAGCTCATTCGGGAGCTGAAGGACGAGGTGGCACGCCTACGTGACCTTCTCTATGCCCAAGGCCTCGGGGACATCATTGACAGTAGGTACCGCCAGGTGCTCTCTGGCAGTGGCTCCAGGCAGGGGTGGCCTGGATTCCCCCCAGCCTGTGGGACCGGTGTCCCCGCAACTACCCTGCATCCTGCTCTGCCAGCCACACGGCAGCATCACGCTGCCAAAGCGTGGTTAGGATGCCTCCGGCAAGCCCCTGAGTGCGCATTTGCAACCCCCAGCCCACTTCTGTAAGGAGGAGGAGCTGCTCTAGACCCAGCAGACCTCCCCTTCTCCCCCTCCACCTCCCATCTTCAGCATCCCGTGCCCAGCAATGGTGCCAGGAAGATGTTCCTGGGGCTGCGCCCACCTGTGGCCTCTCTTCCATGTGCTGTTGGATATCCTACTGAGATGAACCCACTCTTGTTCTGTTCTCTCTGTCTTACCCCCACTCCCTGCCCTCTCTCTCTCTCTTAGCCCATCCTGCTGCGGAAGGATCCAAATGTGTGTATTCCCCATCACTGGTACTCTCTGTTGCTTCATGGCTTTTGGGAGGCATAGGCTGCACCCAGGGGCACCTGTGCAGCATGGGGAAGGGCTCCCGTAGCCAGCCCCAGCTGATGGAGAGGGGCTTGCTGTCCCCAGGGAGCTGGCAAAGGGAATGGTGGCAGAGTCACAGTTAGCACCTGGGCTTGGGATAGCGCTCGGAGGGACCAGCGTCCTCCGCCGTGCCAAGGGCCTGATCCCCACGGGGACTCCTTCCTCCATGCTGTCATGATGTTTCGTGTCGCTGCTGCTGCTGCTGTCGCTGCTTCTGCTGGCGCTGGGGCTTGTTGGGACTGGAACCCGGCACGGCGCTTGGGCGGGCTGGCACAATGCTCTCCTGATGGAGGGCTGTGTGGTGATGGCCAGGAGGGTTTTGCCCATGGATAAGCACTGTCGCCCCATCCTGCCCTGGGCTATGGCGAACCCCCTGAGGAGACATGGACCTGGCCCCTCCCCTCCTGGCTCAGCTCCCTGGGCTGATGGAGATGGGTGATTAATGCTGCACCTGCTAGCCTGTGCCCTGCCCTCCTCTGGCACAGCGCGCTGAGGCCCTGCGACTTCTCAGGCCTGGAGGAGCATCTCTGATACCTGTGTCCCTTTGCCACGGGGTCCGGTGGCAGCTGATGCTCGGGGTGCCGGCAGGCAACTGCTGCTGCCTGTAATGGGTGTTTTGCCACCTTGCCCTCACTTTGCTCTCTCTCTGGCTGCCTGGCCAAGGCGCTGCTCCAGCGGGCCAGGGGCTTGGGCTCTGCCAGTGAGGGGATCCCACAGCTACTCCTCCTCCATCCCCCTGACCCTTTTGTGGTGGAGGGCCACTGCCTCTCCTCCCCTTCCCTTCTTGTTCTCTGCTCTCAGATCCAGCTAATCTGGGGCAGCTGGGCAGGGAAAACCACTCAGGCTGTGTTGATGGGGGAGGATGACAGGGGCAGTGGCACGCTCTTGGCAAGGATGGTCGATCCCAGACCTGATGGCTGCAGGATCTGGTGTTGCAAAAAAGCATCCCCGGGAGCCCAGGAAGGCTCCAGGGCTGTTCCAGCAGCTGCTTCCCAAAACAGCCCAGTGCTCCTGGCGGGCTGCCCGGGCTGGGGGAGAGACACGTGTGCCCTTGCCCTGCTGCTGCCTGCACCGCTGTGCTGTCGCCTGTGCCTTTTCCTTGTAATTCCTGGCTTTCTTCTCGATGCATCCGGCCACTCTTTTTTTTTTTTCCCAACAGCTTTTCTTCTCTCTATCTTTCTCTTTCTCTCTCTCTTCCTGTCCATGTGTCTTTCCCTGGCCCAACACTCCTTCCCCACCCGTAGATGTGTCCGACTTTGAGAACAATAATGATGCTAGAGGGGCAGAGCTGAGTCACCGCCATGACAATCTCTCCACAGTGACGAATGCCATCGCCGGGATCAGCCCCTCTTCCTCCCTGTCGGCCTTGTCCAGCCGTGCCGCCTCCGTCGCCAGCCTCCACGAGCGCATCATGTTTGCTCCAGGCAGTGAAGAAGCGATCGAAAGGCTCAAGGTAAGAGGCCAGCACCTGGCAGGATGGAGGGTTCAGCTCAACGCTCTTGCACTGAGGCTTGTGGAGGGGGCTCGGTATTTTCTGGAAACCCATTATGGATGACGCTCATGGAAAATGATGCTCAGGCATGCTCTTGCAGAGTAGGCAGACCCAGAGCTGCCCAATGTTGTGGACTGCCAGATGGGAGAGGGTTTGCCATGGTAGAGCCTTCCTGGTGCTGCCATCCTTCCCATGGGGTGACTGCTGCCTCTGCCCTGCGGGACAGGTGCTCGTGGCTTGGGGTGGGTGCTCCTGGCTCAGCATTGTGCAGGAGCAGGCTGGCAGCAAGGGGATGGAGAGGATGATCTTCCTGCCTTGCTCTTTGAAGATGGCGATGATGGAAAGATGGGGGTGAAATGCTGCCATTGCTTGTTTAAACCAGCCTGAAACTGGGACCAGCGTCCCGCTGTGGCATGCTGGGCAGAGCCTGGCAGAGCAGGCAGGTATGCTAACCTCCTGCTAACCCCGTGCTCACCAGGAAACAGAGAAGATCATCGCGGAGCTGAACGAGACATGGGAGGAGAAGCTGCGGAGGACGGAAGCAATCCGGATGGAGAGGTGGGTGGGTTGGGGTAGGATGGGACAGTGTGGGGTTCCCCAGGCATCTCCCCTCCTCTGCACTTTGCCTACAGCAGTTCAGGTCCTGGGGGCAGCTGGGCAATTTGACCGTGCAGCTGTACCCTACCCCAGCACCCACCACGTTAGCCTGCATGGACGTGGTCTGCTCTGAGAAACCCTCCTGAGGCACGGAGTTAGCTGAAGCAAGCCCTATGGCTGTGATCTGTGGGGCAAACCCATGGGCTGAGGTCCCATCCTGGGTTTGTCTAGTGCTGGCTCCAGGGGCTCATGAGTCTTTAACAGGCTCTTCTTTCCCTTGCTCCTTCAGGGAAGCGTTGCTGGCTGAAATGGGGGTGGCCATGAGGGAGGATGGAGGCACCTTGGGTGTTTTCTCTCCTAAAAAGGTAGGATCATCTTATTCTCTTCTTCCTGGCAAACGAGGGCTGTTTTGTACCCCTGCAGCTCCCTTCTGACCTGCCCTGTCGCTGCCAGCCAGCCCCAAATATTTCTCTAGCCTTTTCTTGGCTCTGAAATCTATGGGGGAAATCCCAGTGTTAGCCCTGCTGGGTACAAACATCGGTAGAAATACATGGCTAAATGTCCAGCCTCCGTTGCCTGGATGCTGTCCCCATTCAGGTGGGGCTTTGCTGATGATCACTGTGTTGGACTTCAGTATCAGCTTATAAAAATCCATACTTTGGGGTATACGAAATTGCTGCCCCTGAAACCAGCAAGTCCTCACTCAGAAATGTGGGTGTGGAAATATTCCATACCCTTTATTGCTTGTAGCATCCTGGAAAGTATTTTCTAAGCAAAAACTGGCTGTGCCCCAAAGAGTTAGTGTCCCAGCAAACCCTGCCAAGCACCAGTTACAGCACATCACTGCCCCTCACTTGTCTGTATAACCATTGTGGTAGTGGCGTCCGGTTTACAGCCCCAACCCTGTGAAGCCCGCAGAGCAGCATGGGCTGCCAAGGTGCAGGCACGTGCTCATAGCACCAGGGTGCGTTCACTTGGCTCTCCTGCCACACTGAGGGATGCTCTGAGAGCTGCCCCGGCAGCTGATGCTGGTTGGCTTGGCCAAACATCTTAGTAGATGTGTGCGTCCCCAGCTGAGGTGGTGACACTTGCTGATGAAAGCTTCGGGACCTTCCCCTTGCATGCCTTGGCATGGCTCTTAGGACAAATTTCTACACCGTTGTCTTTGTTTCTCATTCTTGTCTCAGTCGCTGCCTGTTAGGACCCCAGATCTTTGTGTAGAAAGCATGGGGGTTTATACCCTGAAGCAGGTTGGTCTTGGAGGTGGGGCATTGCTGTGGTGGTCTTGATGCCTCCTTGCTCTTCATCTATCTGGTGGGTGAAAACTTCTCTGACTCTTCCAGTGGCTGGTGAGGAAAGTTAGCGTCGATAGTGTGCAAAACCCCGTTTCATTAAGGGCAAAGCAGGGCAGGACTTCGTTGTCCTGCTGTATGCCATCGCTGGGGTGGTTACGTCTCGAAGGAGCTCAGTGGAAGGTAAAGCATCTGACTTCTACTAGCCAGCCTTGCAAATCTGGAGAAAAACTGCAAGCTGAAGGAGTCTCAGACCCTGCGGCTTCGTATCTGCTCAGAGGGGCCTGAGGTTAAATGTTACAGCCAACTTACTCCTGCTAGCCACCATGGAGAAGAGCCTGCGTTTCCCCCTTGGCCTCCAGCTCTCCTGCACTATTTGGAGTGAGTCCCTCCTATCAGCCAGGGCTTGTAGCACTGTTGTGAGGGGGAAACCTCTGCATGCCGGGTGTTAGCAGGCTGATTAAGACATTTCTTATGGTCTCTATCCTTATTTCTGGGAAACTCAGAACTTCACCTGCTGATACTCCTGGGACTTTGCCTGTTGCCTGAAGGTGCAATCACAGCAGCTTGCAATGGGGTGAGACAAGCTAGCTGCAGACAGAGAGGTCTGTGGCCGGGGGAGAAAATTCCCTCTTGTCAAGAGCAAAGTGGTTTGTGACCTAGGGGAAGAAAGTGTTGGGAGGCAGCTCTTAGGAAGGACACCAGGGAGTGAAATTCAGCCTGGAGATACAGCTTCAGGTTTCCACTACTTTTGGTTGAACTTCTGGTCTAGGACCTGCTCTTTTGGGTGCTTTATCTGTCCTTGTACTGTCAGTGGAGGAAAACAGGCACTTTTAGTTCCTCTCACCCTAAACCAGCTGTTGCATGGGATGTGTCTCTGCCTCAGCTACACTGTCCATAGCAGAGCTGGGGGCTACGGTGAGGCAAGGGCCATGGACCACAGTGCGGGCGAGCAGGGTCATGCCGCAGGAGACACTAAGCCATATCAGGGACTCCCCATTGGAAGTGTTCTGCTCCATGTTGGGCCTGTTTGCAACACAAGTTTTCAAAGGCAGCTGGCGGAAGGGTGCCCAGAGCTCAGCCCTTTGAGGAGGGAAGTAGAGAGGCATGTGGAGGCAGGTCATCTTCATCCCAGCTGCTAGGTTCTCTGCAGTCCCCTTGAAAAGTACACGCCTGGGCATGTTGTCCTGGAGCTATGGAGGGCAGGAGAGCCCATGCAGGAGGCAGCCTGAGGTGCTGCTGAGTTCCCATCTCCCTCAGGAGCATCCCTCAGCACCTGGGTAGATGGGGCGCACCAGGGTGACTCCTTGTTCGTCTCTCCCAGACGCCCCACTTGGTCAACCTGAACGAGGACCCGCTCATGTCCGAGTGTCTTCTCTACTACATCAAGGATGGGATAACAAGGTGAGGGCGAGGTCCTGCGGACCAGTGGGAGCCTAGCCCGGATCTCAGTGCCTGACTTGCCTGGGTGGGCAGCAGGGTGACAGCTGTCCCCGGGTTGGGCACTGTTCCTGGGGCATCCCCAAAGTGCCATAGCCATGTGGGAACAATGTGTTTGCCTGGCAATGTTGTTAGGGATGTTGGTCCTGCTATGCACCAAGGGCTGCTCCTCTTAGCCCCAAGGATGGTTGTGGGGGGAGGCCCAGGGAGGGTCTGCTTTGAGGAAGGATTGAGCTGGGTTTCCCCCGGCAGGGTTGGCCGGGAAGATGCAGAGAAGAGGCAGGACATCGTTCTCAGCGGGCACTTCATTAAGGAAGAGCACTGCCTTTTCCGCAGCGACACCAAAACTGGTGGTGAAGGTATTCCTTGTCCAGAGGGGCTCCACCTCCCTGGGGACCTCAGTCCCTCTGCATGTCCCCAGCACCTGTCCCCAGCCGGGGCTCCGGCCCTCCTCAGAGTAGTGGGGCTCTCCTGCATGGCCGTGGTCTCTCCAAGCTTCCAGAGTGAGCTACAGCCCTCACTTAGCTGGGAGGGAAGCTCATGCAAGGCACATGGAAGCTGCCACGGTGAGGCAAGCCAGGGAGATCAGGGCGGGAGGGAAGAGCAGACTGTAGATGATTCTTGCAGAGCAGAGCCCACGCTGCAAACCAGAAGGAACCTGGGGGTGAAAGGGCTTTGGGAGATGAGCCTGGGGAGGCTGGAGATGCATGCTGGAGGCTCTGATCTCCTCTCACATCCAGTCTCTAGCTGCTTCTAGTCCTTGGGACTGCTCTGATTAGCATGAGGTTGGCCGAGTCCCATTTGTTGCCCAGGGCATGGGTGCTGCTGCTGGGTACCCTGGTTCCCCCTACTCCACACCTGGGGTGCTGGCTGGGGCAGCTCTCCCTTTCTAAGGCTGCAGAAGCAGCGGAGTGGGAGATGAGGGGTTTATCCCTCTGCTTCCACCTTACCTTTGCTCCCTGTCTCCCCCTCCCACTGTCTCTGCAGTAATAGTGACCCTGGAGCCCTGTGAAGGTGCTGACACCTATGTGAACGGCAAAAAGGTGACAGAGCCCAGCGTCCTGCGCTCAGGTGGGTCCCCAGAGCCAGCTCACCAGCGCTGCTCTAACCTGCCTCCCTCCATCCAATGGGGGGGCCTGCACATTGTCCCACATTAAACCCACGCCCTCACCCCATGCCCCGCGTGCATCCCTGTAGGAAACCGCATCATCATGGGGAAGAGCCACGTCTTCCGCTTCAACCACCCCGAGCAGGCTCGGCAGGAGCGGGAGCGGACCCCATGCGCTGAGACCCCCGCCGAGCCTGTGGATTGGGCTTTCGCTCAAAGAGAGCTGCTGGAGAAGCAGGGCATTGACATGAAGCAGGAGATGGAGCAGCGGTGAGGGCACAGGGGCTGGGGCGATGGGGAGTTGGGTATCCACCTCTAAGTTGGTCATCCTCTCCTTCCCCGTTCCTCCCAGGCTCCAGGAACTGGAGGACCAGTACCGGAGGGAGCGGGAGGAGGCGAATTACCTTCTTGAGCAGCAGAGGCTGGTAGGTGGCCAGGACCTGACTCCTTCTCAGGCTGTCCAGGCATGACTGAGTTCTGTCAGATGTTTGCATGGGGTGGCTCTGTGTGTCCTAAAAATAAGAGCAAACCTGTTGTTCCTGGGGTTGTCCTCATAAACACGGATTCAGAGGAGGGAGGAAGCCAGGTTCCTGCGGGTTGGGGGGAGAAGCTCTGTGTGGCAGCATGGAGGAAGGTCACACCTTGTGGGTTGCATCATCCTTCTCCCTGCTTCCCCCCAGGACTATGAGAGCAAATTGGAGGCTTTGCAGAAGCAGATGGACTCTAGGTATTACCCTGAGGCAAATGAGGAAGAGGAAGAACCTGAGGATGAAGGTGAGGTCTGGGTTTTGATGCTCTCTGCAGGAGCAAGAAGAGTGGACCATGGGTCCCCTGGGCACCTCTGCACTGATGTCCTCCCTCCCAGCGGTGAGGTGACTGTCTCTCCATGTCCCCACAGTGCAGTGGACAGAGCGGGAGTTCGAGCTGGCCCTCTGGGCCTTTAGGAAGTGGAAGTGGTACCAGTTCACCTCCCTGCGCGACCTGCTCTGGGGCAACGCCATCTTCCTCAAGGAAGCCAATGCTATCAGCGTGGAGCTGAAGAAGAAGGTGGGTGCCCGGGGCTCCTCTCTGGCTTGCTGCAGCACCCACGGCTGAGGCCACAAGTGTGGGCAGCCAGGGAAGTGCTGAGGAGGGGGTTGCTGAAGACACAGCATGGAGCCCGCTGTCCTCCAGGGTGGCTCACCATCCCCCTCTGTCCCTCTCCAGGTCCAGTTCCAGTTCGTGCTCCTCACAGACACGCTGTACTCGCCTCTCCCTCCCGACCTGCTGCCTCCTGATGCCGCCAAGGACCGGGAGAAGCGGCCATTCCCCCGGACCATCGTGGCCGTAGAGGTGCAGGACCAGAAGAATGGGGCGACGCATTATTGGACCCTGGAGAAGCTGAGGTAGGCAAACGATGGCTGCGCTGGGGAGGGCTCGGCCGGCCTCAGCCTGGTTTCTCACCGCTGCCTGCCTCATCCCCCTCTGCCTGCAGGCAACGCCTGGACCTGATGCGTGAAATGTATGACCGTGCAGCAGAAGTGCCTTCTAGCGTCATCGAGGACTGCGACAATGTGGTGACCGGCGGAGATCCTTTCTACGACCGCTTCCCCTGGTTCAGGCTGGTCGGCAGGTGAGCGCTTCGGCTCCTTCTAAGCGCGGCTGGGACCCGCAGGCAGCCCCGTGGGAGGAAGCGATGCTGGCTCTGCCATGTGCAGGGTGTTCATCTCCCTGGGGCTGCACTGTGGGAGGATGCATTGCCCTCCCGGTGCCGGTCAGGGCCCATCTTGCCTGCGGTGGCTGTCCTCTGCATTGGCTGCCGGGACCCCGAAGGACCCACAAGCCACTGGCAATGCTCCTGCTGCCTGCCCTAACACAGTGCTGTGAGGCACGGGCTCTTGGCTTGCTGCCGGTGGGAGGCGGGGGGCTGCGGCTGTCCCGCAGGCCGAGAGCCCGTGTCGTCGTGACCTCTGCCCCGGTGGGCACGTGTCCATGTGCACGCGTTGGTGTCCAAGCATCCGTCTGTACGGTATGTGCCGTGCGTCTCCATGCGCTTCCTGCATGCTGGTTGGAAGGGTGCGGTGCCAGCGATGAGGACGGGCCACCCTGGAGGAGGGGTCTGCCCTGGTGGGCAGGGGGAGCAGGGGGTGAGCCGCATGGCCCAACCAACCGCATCTGCCGTGGAGGCATCCCCCCCATGCCACGGCATGTGGAGAGATTCCCTTCGGTGGTGGGGGTGGCGGCAAGCCTCGTGCCACCCACTCTGTCCCTGTGTTGTCCGCAAAGCCAGTGAGGGGAATCCCCACCGTTTGCACCAGTTCCTTGGGTCGCTCTTTTTTCTGCCCTTTATAGCCGACGGCTGTTGGTGGCTTCCTTTAGAAACGCACCGGATGGGCAGGTCTTTATTTCCCGACATCCCTTGGTTTAAGCAGAAAAAAAACCTACCCCAAAATCCAACCAAGAAAAAAAAAAATACCCCCCCCCAAAAGCAAAATTCCTATTCTTGCTCTCTCTGTTTGGAACAGCTGGTGTTAACCTGTCTTCTATCTTGTTGTACTAACCTTAGTTCAGATATCTCTGGCTGCAACAGCTCTCCTCTTTTCAACACATGCATGAGCGAGCGCATGGCTGATCTCACCCCCTCCCCTACCTTCTCGAACCCCGACTCCGACATCACCGAGCCTGCTGACGAGCAGCACCAGGGGCAGGAGGAGGCGGAGGACCTGGAGGAAGACATCTTTCCGGAGTGCCCGCTGTGTGATGGCCGGGATCCGTTTTACGACCGCTCCCCCCTGTTCAGTTTAGTAGGAAGGTTGGTGAGGTTTTAGGAGAGCATGCCGGGAAGGAACTAGCTCTTTCGCATGAGGGAACTGCTTTCGGACATGACTCCCACCTCCAGGGCGTCCCAGAGGCACAGGGGGTGGCTGGCCGGCTGAGATTGCTGCTGAGCCCGGGGCGCCAAGCAGGGCGGTGAGGTGCCCACCGAGGTAGGGCTGTGTGATGAGCACAGTGGCAGTAGGGAACAGCGAGGGAAGGCGGACAGCACCAGCTCCGCCGGAGACCCTTTAGGCAGGTCCCTCTCCCCGGGGCAGCCCCCGAGAAGGGGAGCTCTGCTGCATCCCGGCACCAGAGGAGCTGGGCGAGCTGCATGGGGGTCTCGGACCTGGGCATTTCTGTCCCAGGGAGGGCCACCTCCCAGCTGGCTTGGGGTGACCCACCACGGTGCCACTGCCTGGGGCCATGCAGGCACTTCGAAGCCGCGTGTGCCTCTGCCACCAGCTTGGCCGTCCCACCTGCGTCGGTCAGTGTGAACCCCCCCCGGACGCAGAGGCTTGGATGTCCCCAGGCGTTCGGTTGGACAAAGCTGATGGGAGTAAGGGGAGAGCCGGGCACAGGAGGGAGAGGAGGGCTCTGCGAAAAGTGGCATTTTTCTCTCACTGCCTGTGCCCAGTGCTTGGCTTGGGCCATCCCTGCTGGCTTGGCACAGGAGATGTTCAGGGAGATCGCGGGGACACGGGTGCAGGCTCCAAGTCCTCCTCAGCTCCGGCCGAAGATAAGAGCTTTGGTTTCTCATACCTGTTGGCCAGGAGCCCCCCCCTGAGCTCCATCAGTCTTGGAGAAACCCACCAGCCACCACAAAACTGGCTGTGCCACCAAACCCGGTTGCAATCTGCCCAGCTCTGCTCCGGGGTTTTCCCAAGGGGTTGTGCACCCAGAGCTAGTCCCAGAGCCTCTGCCCCAGGCAGGAGCCAGAGGTGCTCATGATGGTGAACCTCTCCCTGCTGGGACTGCCCTGACGGTTGGAGCTGGACCTCCTCTTCCTCGGTGTGCTAAAGCCAGGTTTATCCCTGCCGGGCAGAGTGTGGGCAGCGAGGTGGGGACGAGGGGGACCAGCACAGGCAGAGAGGGTGGAGGTGGGGTAAGAGTCCTGCAGCCTCAGACCGAAAGAGCTGGGTTCTTCCCCTCTTTTTTTTCTTTTTTCCTTTTTTGCTTATTTAAGAAAAACCAAACAAACAAACATCAAAAAAAACCCAAAACTCTTGGGGGCACCTCAAAAAACCAAACAAGGCCCTGCGGCAGCGGCCCCGCTCTGTGCCGGGGGCATGTTCCCCGGAGCTCGGCACCTTCCGACTTCTTTTGAGTCTGCCCTGGGTTTGGCTCCCCATGCAGCAGCTCCGCCGGCCACATTTCTTGTGAAGTGTGCTTGGATTGGTTTATGATTGGATCCTTGTCTTTTGGTTTATTTTCCGTTCTTTCTTTTTTTCCTTTTAGGTTTTTTTTTGGTTTTTTTTTTGGTTTTGTTTTTTTTTTAGTTTTTGGGTTGGTTTTTTTTAGCTGCTGGCTCTATCTCTCCAAAGCTTTAGCAAAAATTGGGGTTATTTCACTTTCGTCTTCCTTTGGAAAGGCTTTTCTTTGGTCTGAGCATGCCATCTTTGCACCTCACCAATCTTGTGGTTAGTGTCCCTGCCCTCCTTCCTCTAGTGACACACTTGTCCCCCTCCTCCCCGCCCCTCCCCCCTTTCCTCCCCTCCACCCCCTTGGCTTCAACACCAGCTGCCCTGCAATTTCGGGCGGACGGGCACACCCAGATCCCCGTGGTCGCAGGGCTCTGCTCTGGGCATGTGATCCTGCCGGGAAGTTCTGGCACAGGCCAGCCACCTGTCCCCGGTGGCCTCCAAGAAGAGATGGGGTGAGATGGGCCCAGCAGGAGACGGTGATGGGGCATCACCTTTGCTTCCACAACTTGAGTCCTTGGAGATGCTTTGGGTAGAAAAAAGCCTCAGTCAGCGGTTGGAGGTCAATGGGAGTCACCAGAGCATGGACTCTGGGGCTCGGGCTGCAAGTGTGGGGCTGGGGCCTCCTGCAAGAGCCCCCCTGAGCACTTTTGGGTGCCATTGGATGTCTGCAAAGACACCTGCGAGGTTGGGACGTCGCAAGCAACACTGCCAGCCACCTGGAGATGCAACCCTCATGGGAGCCTCCCAAAGCAGAAGTGTCCTGGCTGGCCCCAGCACCATCCCGCCCCGCGACACCCGAAGACGCTGCGTGTCAAGATGCCAGTGGGTGCCCTGGGGATGGGTGCCGGGCACCCTGCACCACCTCTTGCTGGGAGCTGTGCTGCCCCACAGGCAAGGGTAGTTCGCACCATTTGGGCAGGGAGCTCAGTGCCAACGGCTGCGGAGGTGACTTGTCACCTCTGAGGGCACGGTGCGCCGCCATTGCCAGAGCTCCAGGAGGACTGTCTCACAGCGAGCCGGCCGGTGGTGAGGTTGAGGAAGGTGGCAAGAGGAGACAAAACACCTGAGAAACAGGGAGCTGCGGCCTGGTGGGAGGTCCCGGCAGAGATGTCGTGTGGCCATCAAGTTGAACCCTGGTGTGGCACCTTGCTGCAGTAGCGTCAGTGACCCGGACACCACGGAGGACGGCGGGGAGGCTCAGACCTGCTGCACGGGGGGTGTGCAGCTCCTTCCTCGCCCACAGGGAGAAGCCGGCTGTGCCGTCCCCGTGATGTGCTGGCAGGCGGCCCAGGACCCCGAAGCCATGCATCCGAAGGGATGGGGCAGGGGGACACACACCACTGATGCCGCCAGCCATGCTGTGCAGCCTCCCTCCCAGCTGGGCAAAGGCTGCCTGCAGCCACCAGTGGTCCTCCGACACCACGGGCAGAGCCGGGGCCAGGACCCCCCTGGCACGTTCATCTCTGGAGGCTTCTGGCCTCCAGCCAGGACCTCCTCCTCTCCCCTCCTTCGCTCCTGCCGGCCTCTACCTCCCTCGTCACCCTCCCTTCCCCCCCCGCCTTGCCCCTGTCCCCCCCACGGTGACTCCGCAGCTGCCCCCGAGTCGTGTCGCAGCACCTCCTGCCCTAGTCCTTCGGCTCTCCACTGCAGAGAAGGTCCTCTTCCCTCCCAGCTTCACGGTGGCACCAGCGCAGCCCCCCTCCCCTCCCCGCCCGCCACGGAGGTGACAGCCGGAGAGGTACGCGAGCCCCATCTGCTTCGTGGTGCTGCCCACGGTGCGCTGCCCGCCCGCCTGCCTGCGGCACGCTGCCCACCCGCTGCCCGCTCCCTGCCCCTCTCGGCTGGCCCTGGCTGCCTTCTCTTTAGTTTTGCTTTGCAGCGCCGCGGTCGCGCCGTGAGCGGTGACCTGGGATCCCGGCCGCCACCGGCCGCGCCACCCGTGCCTGGGGACCCGCGGGTGGGAGCAGTGACCGCTTCCCCCCCGTGTTGTGTGTGTCCCCCCCCTCTCTGGCAGGGCTTTCGTCTACCTGAGCAACCTCCTCTACCCCGTGCCCCTGGTCCACCGCGTGGCCATCGTCAGCGAGAAGGGTGAGGTGAAGGGCTTCCTGCGTGTGGCCGTCCAGGCCATCTCAGGTAGGAGGGGGACTCCCCCCAAAATGTGCCCCTTGCATCCTCCATGCCCCCCACACTGGCTCACCCCCATCCCTCCTCCAGCGGATGAGGAAGCCCCCGACTACGGCTCCGGTGTGCGGCAGTCAGGGACGGCCAAGATATCCTTCGATGACCAGCACTTTGAGAAGGTATGGCAGCGGCCAGCTCTCGGTGGGTACCCAGGGACTGCAGACCCCTGCCTGCCACGGTGATGCTCCCCCATGGGAACCACCGGGCTCCCAGAGCTGCAGGCATCATGCTGAAGGGGCCGTGCTCCCAGTCCACCTGGCAGACCCCAACCCTCTGGCACCCACCGATGCACTCCCCTGCTCTTGCCCATGTCCCGGGGGGGGCTGCCGTGGGGTGGGAGGGGACAGCTGGAGGTGCCCCAGTGCTCAGGGTGGTGGCAGCAGCACAAGCGAGACCACCTCGGGGACCACCAGCATCCCTGAGCCCCACTCCTGGCGCAGTTCCAGTCGGAGTCATGCCCAGCTGTGGGGATGTCTCGCTCGGGGACCTCCCAGGAGGAGCTGCGCATCGTCGAAGGCCAGGGGCAGGTCAGCGACGTGGGTCCCTCCGCTGATGAAGTCAACAACAACACCTGCGCAGGTGAAGGGGTGCTGACAAGCGGTTGGGGAGTGGCCCCCCCCGTGCCGGCACCCAGCCTCCTGCGCCCACCCCAGTGTCGAAAGCCCACTGCCCTGGTGCAGGGCTGCTGGCAGACACTGAGGGGGGTGACCTCCCCGCCTTGCTGAGGACCCTCCCCTCCCTGCAGTGACCCCAGAAGACCTTCTCCTGGACAGCCCAGAGAAGCCTGTGCCAGACGGGCCACTGGAGGCGGCTCTGGACCACCTGAAGCTGGGCAGCATCTTCACTTTCCGTGTGACAGTCCTGCAAGCCTCCAGCATCTCCGCAGAATATGCAGACATCTTCTGCCAGTTCAAGTGAGCCCCTGGCCCCGCATCTCCCACTGTGCTCTGGCCTTGGGGCTGGCGGTGAACGTCGGGAAGCCCCAGCCCCCCCACCTCTGAGCCCTTCATGGATGGGGAGGCAAAACCAAGGGCTGTGGGATGAGCCCATGTGTTTATCTGGTACCTTGTTTGGTAACTGGCAGAAGGCAGGGAGAGGCTCCCATCACCTTTGGCAGGGGGGTCCTGTGCCAGCCCAGGGTGTGGGCAGCAGCACTGGGGGGAGCAGGCTCTTCTCCCGGTCCCTACCCTCTCTCCCTTCCATGCTCTGGCACGTCCCCATCCCGCAGCCCCCAAGCCATCTTCCTGCCCTCCACAGCTTCATCCATCGCCACGATGAGGCCTTTTCGACAGAGCCCTTGAAGAACACGGGACGGGGGCCACCACTGGGTTTCTATCACGTCCAAAACGTACGTACCCCTCCCCTGCCCACACCCCCTCATCCCCGTGGCTGCCGGGGTCTCCATGGGGCTGTGGCTGGATCTTCTCCTCAGGGGAGCAGCTTCCTCCTGGCTTTCCCAGCCCATCACAGCCACCCAGCTAAGCCAAGCTTAGACAAGGCGGATGTGTGGGGGAAAGACCAAAAGCTGCTGCCCTCCACCTGAAAAGGCTGGGATTTCATGGCAGCGGTCTTGGTGGGGAGAGCATCCCTGGGTCACAGAGAAGGGGTTGAGTGAGAGATGCGGGGGATCAGACAGGCTTGCACCCCCCACCTCCCTGGTGCTGTTGCTGGCTGCATCCTTTTCCCAGGTAAATTGCACCATTGACAGCTCTTTCTCTTCCAGATTGCTGTGGAGGTGACCAAGTCCTTCATTGAATACATCAAGAGCCAGCCGATTGTATTTGAAGTCTTCGGGCACTACCAGCAGCACCCCTTCCCACCTCTCTGCAAGGATGTCCTGAGGTGGGCACACCCTGGGCCACCCCTGGCCCCTGGGTGCCACAGGGGCACCTGGTGCAGCCGGCTTCCTGGAGACCCAGAGAAAGGGGGGGCAGGTGGTGGCAGGGGGTGGCCTCAGGGTGTAGGCGTGGTTGGCCCCGTTCAGGGGTCCTGTGGATGCTTTAACCGAGCTGGTTCTCTCTGCAGCCCGCTGAGGCCATCCCGGCGTCACTTCCCCCGTGTGATGCCGCTCTCCAAACCAGGTAGGGGATCTGGCCTCCTGCTCCTCCCCCTGCCCATGGTCCCCATGCTGGATGCAAGGTCCCCTTCCCCAGGGGGACCAGTTAGGACCCCAGGGGCACCACAAAATGTACAGCAGGCCAGAGCACCCAAAAGCCCTTGGCACCCGTTCCCGCAGCACCTGGCTGATGCAAAGCCCTCTTCTCACCTCCTGCGGAGTAGCAGGGAGGAGGCTACCCACCCTGGATGGCTCCGATGGCCACCCATCCCCGCCATCCCGCAGGGGCTGTGTGGTCCCTGCTGTGCTCTGGCTGCCGAGACCTGAGTTGTTGGGGTTTGGCTGAGCACTGTGGTTTGCTGTGCGGTTCCTGCGACAGCACCGGGGGAGCCTCCCTCCAGCTGTCCCCAAGTGATCCCTGGAGAAGTGCTGTGTGGTTTGGGACATGTCTGTGTCAGGGCTGTGGGCTCGGGGTGTCCATCTCGGGGATGGGTGAGGCCAGCTGCATCCTGACACCCTCGCCACTCTACGTTGGGCATGGGAGAAGGGACGCTGGTGGTCAGTGAGGTCCCCGGGATGGGGCTGTCACCCTCTATGCACTCCCTTCTGCCTTGCTGCCATCTCCATTTGTCTCCCCACGGTCCCTGCCTGCTCTGCCCTTACCCTGCCTACCATGACGTGCCTCACTCCAAATGTCAACAGCAAGCTCGCCCTTTAAGCTGTCTTTCTGCCCTGCTGCAGTGCCTGCGACAAAGCTGAGCACCATGACTCGGCCCAGTGCCGGCCCGTGCCAGTGCAAGTACGACCTGATGGTCTTTTTTGAGATCTGTGAGCTGGAAGCCAACGGCGAGTAAGTCCTGCCGGAAAGGGGAGTGGGAAGGAGAGGGAGGCAGTGCGGTGATTTGCCCAGTGCTTGGCACCTCCAGGCAGGCTGATGGGGCTCTGTGTCACGCTGTGATCCTCTTTTCCAGCTACATCCCTGCCGTCGTGGACCACCGTGGAGGCATGCCATGCCATGGGACTTTCCTCCTCCACCAGGTACTCCCTTCCCCAAGATGCTGTCCTGGCTCTGGCTCCTGCCAGGAGCTGTGTTAACCACTGCCCCTTCTCTCTGGCCTCATGGGTCTCAGGGCATCCAGAGGAGAATCACCGTCACCTTGGTGCATGAAACAGGCAGCCTCATCCGCTGGAAGGAAGTGAGGGAGCTAGTTGTGGGTAAGCTGAGCCAGGTTGAGTGAGCAGCCCCCAGCCCACCAAGCTCCCAAGCATCGTCTCAGGCTGTTTCTCACGCATGTTCCCATGTGGGGCTTTATGCCTCGTCTCCCCTCCCGCCCTGCAATAGCAAAGCAGCAGCTGCCTGGCAGGTGACACCGGGATGCCACCTGGGCAGGATGCCTCAGTCCCGGCCACTGTGCCCAGGAGCTGGACCAGGACCCCTGGTGCTGAGTGGCTGAGTGCTGGGTGGCTGCTACCTGTGATGGGGGAGCTGCTCTGCTGGGGGATGCAGGCAGGCGGGCTGCCCCTGCCCCTCACGGGGACCCTCACAGGGCCACCACCTGTCGCCTGAGCAGTGTCCCCATGATGTGCTTGCAGGTCGGATCCGGAACACCCCAGAAGCAGATGAGTCTCTCATCGACCCCAACATCCTATCCCTGAACATCCTCTCCTCAGGGTACATCCACCCCTCACAGGAGGACCGGTGCGTGCCTCTTCTCTTGCTCTTCCCCAGCTGTGGTGAGGGCTGGGGCGAGGATGTGGGGAGCCCCTCTGTCCCCTGGGGGGGCTCTTGGCCCCTCTGCAGGGTCCTGCTGACCTGTTGCTGCCTTGCGGGGGGCTTTTCTGGAGCAGCAGAGGGTCTTGGGGTTCAGGGCCGCCAGCTCCCTTCCTCCTCCTCCCCGAGGCTTCTCCGCGCCGGGCTTTGGCACTACAGGGAATTTGGGTGGGGGTCCTGCTCTCCGGTGGCAGCTGTGATGACGTGGTGCAGAGAGCCAGTTGGTGCCAGGAGGATGTACTGACCTGGTGGCTGGAGGGCACCTGCCACAAAGGGCTATTTGATCTGTGTCCCAGCAAACTCGCTGGAAAGGCCACTTGGTGCCCATGGCTGGTCCCTATCTGTGCAGGGGTGATGCAGGAAAGCCATCCCCCATCACTGCCAGGTGACTTTGGGGATGCCTGCCCCTTCACACCAGTCCCAGGGGCTGTGTCTCCTGCTGTGGGTTTGGCAGAGGGGTGGGAGCAGCGGGGGCCGGAGGTTTTTTATCTCCAAGATCTCCCTGGCTGCGTTCTGCAGTGGTGGAGGGGAGCAGTGAGTGCAGAGGGCAGAGCTCTCCTCTGCACCAGGGTTGCTGGCAAAACTCAGGGGGCTGGCGGGGGTCCCTGGCCAGAATGCGTGTGTGCGGGCAGCCGTGACAAGACGGGGACAGTCATTGGCAGCACCAGGAGCAGTGGGACTGGTCCTGGGCTGTGTGCGTGGCAGTTGCTGGTGTAGGAGCATCCCAGCAGGGAGCGGGGACCACTTTTCCCCTCATTTTCTTTGGGGTCACTGCTGCCCCAAGGTGGCCTGTCCCAAGGCAGGGTGTTTTTGTGGGGGATGACAGGGGTCTGGACAGGAGGTGCCAACCTGCAGCACTCCCAGGACAGATTATGGGCACGGTGGAGCAGCAGGCATGCGGTACCCGGGCAGCAGAGCCGAATCATGGGGTCGGGTATGTGTGCGAGTGTTGGACCAGGAGACTTTGGCACAGCCACAGGGACAACAGAGCAAGGCCAGGCGGGGACAGTCAGGCAAGGAAGGCTCGGCCCAGCAGAGCTGTGGTGGTTTTTGCTGGGCTGCTGGGAGCTGGGTGGCTGTGGCACCCGCGGGCTCCTGGGGCTGCGTTGTGTTATGTCAGCTCCTGATGTGGCCGGTTGGTCCCAGGTGCAGCCAGATCAGATCTTCAGCATCTCTAGTGTAGCCTGGCAGGGGAGATGTGCCTCCTGCTCCTGCCTTCCCCCCATGGGTCCTGCCGGGCAAGGGGATACAGCTCAGGCTGGGGGGATGTTCCGGGTGTGGAGAGAAGCAGGGAGACAGGGGCTTGGGTTTTGCAAGAGCTCGCCTCACCTGCATGCTCAGAGGGTCTGCGCCTCAGGGCCAGCCCCAAATCGGGGCCGTGGGCCAGCGTACAGGCTGTATCCATCCTGTATCCATCCTGTCGAGCCTGGCCAGGGCTGGGCATGGGGAGGAGGGCTCAGCCGGCTTCCTGTGGGATGCCAAGGGGTGCTCGCCGCAACCCTCCCCCGCTTCCATCCCGCATGCAGGCACACACGCTTCGGCCCCAGCAGCCTGCAAGGACAGGCAGAGGGAGGGCAGCGGGCAGAGCCAGGGCCCGCTTCACCCTCCTCCCCGGCTGCTTGTGCTCCCTGCTTCGCTGCCTTACGCCACACAGCCTTCATCGGCCAGAGCAGCCCTGGCTCCCCCTCCGCAGCCTTCCCAGTCCCCCAGAGCCACTCAGAGGGAAACCGGGGGAGCGGTACGGCTCCCTCCCCGGCCCCCATCCATCCCTGCATTGAGCGCCCAGGGAGGCGGTGCGGGGGGCAGCGCCCAGTGTCCCCCCTCGCTTCTCTCCGCTGCTGCTGCCCATCCAAGCCCACACTAACCATGTGATTGTTTTGTGTTTTTGCAGGCAGTTTCTTGATTCGGATATGCCTAGGTATTATTTGTTTCCATTGGTTTTTTTTCCACCCCATCCCCCTTCCTCTCTCCCTTCGTTCTTTCTCCCCCCTCGCCTCGGCGCACTCACTCCCACTGGAGGCAGCACTTGGACATCCAGCCCTCCATCCCTCCACACGCCCCAACCCTCTTCCCTCCCGCCCTGGCACCTCTCGCTCACTAGCCCCCTTTTGCTGTTCGTTTGGGCCACGCTCTCGCTGGCTGCCGCTCCCCCTCGCACGCCTACGTCCCCATCGCCTGATTTGGGTTTTCTTCTTGCTTTTTGACTTCGCTGCTCTCCCATCTCTCTGGCATCTGGCACCAAACGTGCCGCACCCCCATCACCTCCCACCCCAGCCCCAGCTCGGCCCCCGGTGCTGCTTGGAGTAGCCTAGGGCTGGTGCGGACCACGGCAGGGGCTTTGGGGTGCCTCCAGCCCTCGCCCGGGCACCTGGTGATGGTGGCAGCACCACCGGGCGTTGTGGCGGCACGCGCAGTGGCTGCCCACCCCATGCACGGTAGTCCCGCGGGCGTAGGTGCGGCATACGGGCGGTGTGCGTCTGTACGCAGGCGTGATGGTGTGTGCGCATGCCCATACATGGCACAGGCTGTTATGCCCCTGTGTAATGGGGGGAACAGCTGTTCAGGGACAGAAGGGGTTCAGCTGGGACCGCAGGGTGAGCCTGGCATGCGGCGCGTGGGCAAGAGCCACCTGACCCAGATGCTGCTGCCAGCCTCTGGACGGGAGCATCACTGAGGCCCCAGAGGAGGGGGCGTCCTGCCACCGTGCCCCACGGCGGAAGAAGAGGGGGATGCATCTGGGAGACAGGGGATGGGGTCTCCCAAGTCCTGGTGGGCTCCATAGCTTTGTGCCTGGGAGGTTGTCCTCCCTACAGCAGCTAGAAGCCGGTCCTGCTCGGAGATGCCCAAGGGCAGAGCTGTCCCTCTAGTGGCACCCTGTCCCCTTGGGTTGCAGGGGGACGGATCCAGCATGGATCTAGCCCCCCGCTGCAGGAGCATGCGGGTTCACACTGACATTGCCTGTGGGCTCTCAGCACAGTGATGCCCTCCCTGTGGACCAGGGGACAGGCCAAGAAATCATCTCCTGCTGCGTGGGTGGTGGTGGGATGGCTGGTCCCCCACGACGGGCATCTTCGGGGGGCTGCGCTGAGCAGGAGCTCCTTGCCCTGAGATGGCAGCAAGGGCAGAGTTAAGGGGATGGGGAGCATGCATGTGCTTGCTTCCCAGCTGCTGGACCACGAGGAAGGTGGGAGGCAGAGGGTGTTCACCCAAGCAGGTAAACCTCTGTCTGCCCTCACCGAGCTCCTTCTGGGCTCCAATTCAGGGTCCACCTAGGCAGGAGCTCCTTTAGCAAGTGGTGCCAATATGGGGCAAGTCCTCCTCGAGAGGGGCTCCCCTTCCTTGCAGCACCGCTCCCGCGCCAGCCCCGTACAGATGATGCTTTCTGACCTTTCGTTTTTCTGTGTGTGTACGTGTGTGTGTTTGTCCTTGGGTCGCCTTCCACTTATAGCATTTCGTTCGGAAATGACACTAGGTATTTTGTTCACACCCGCTCGGTCTCGTCCCTCCTGCTTCTCTCTTTCTCCTTTGCCTTCTCCCTTCGCTTTTAGCTCTTTCCCCTCTCCCCTGAGGCTCCTCTTCTCCTCCTCCTCCCTGGGGAGCACTGTCTTCTCAAGCTACCTGTGTCTGCAAAGCGATCCTTCGCCTTGGCTCTGTCTCACATGGGGTTTTTTCTGTATTTTATACACCTGAAAGCGTCACTCTCCCTCTTCTTTCAATGCGAGGACAATCGCAGCCAAGAGCCTCTCCCTGCTCCTTCTGGCTGCCCCAGCTCTTGTTAAAAGAGCCCCTCAGCTGCCTAGATGCTGCTTCAGGGATGTGCTGAAGCGTTCTCATTGAGACATGGCTGAGGCACGGCTTCCTGAGGATGCTCAGGCGGGAGCCAGGGCTGCGGCAGCTCTGGATGGCTTTGGGGAGTGGGTGTCCCATAACCCGAAGGCTGGCCTGGGAGGGAGCCCAGGAGTGGGGCAGGGGGTGAAATGGGGATCCCCCATGCTCTCGAACCAGAGCCGCCTCCTGCTTCCCCCCACCTTGATTCCTTGACCTGAAGAGGGCGGTTGCCACTCTTGCTCTGGGTGGCTGCACCGTCCTCTGTGGGACACCATAGGCACCGGGCGAGTGGAGCCGGGTGTCCCCCACTCCTTCTCCCAGCCTGGGAGCCATGGAAAACACAGCGAGGGGAGCGAGGCAGCCTGGTGGGAATGGGGCTGGTGATCAGGGCAGAGCAAGAGCCAGGGGAGACAGCCTGACAGGAGCCAGTCACCAAATTGTGGTCCTCGGGTCCCGCCGGGGCTCAGGGCTGGCAGATGGGGGCAGTGCTGGGGAAGGGGACCTGTCTGGCAGGGGGGCTGCTCTCCCAGGGGTGGGCTGGCAGCAATCCCCCACTGCTGAGCATCCTCCCTCCTTTCCCTTCTGGCCATTGTCACCTGAAGGGCAACAGCCTCTCCTGGCGGGGGCCAGGAGGTGCTGCGTACCCCGGGGCTGGATGGTGGGGACCTGGCCCGGGCGTGCTGGGGGTGGCAGCCCCCCACTCCAAGCACGGGGGTGGGGCATGCACCCTCCTTTGCCTTCCCAGCCTGCCCTGCCTTGCCTGCACTCCAGCTGAGCCCCCACTCCTCCCGCAGTCCCTCCTCCCCAAAAACCCCAATCCGCTTCAAGGGTGCCGCTTCGAGGGTGCCGCGTCCCCCTCCCGCCACGCCTTGTCCCCCTTTGCCTTGAGCCTGCGTCCTCCAGAGTGGCTGTCCCCATCTGTCCCCACCGCGTGTGCATGTCCATGTGTCCTTGCAGGCCTGCCGCAGCGCTGCGGGGGGGGACGATGGCATCTCCTTGCTCGCTTGCTTGGGGTCCTGGGGGGGGTGTTTTACCGGCTCTGCTATTTTTTTTTTTGGCAGGACTTTCTACCAGTTTGAGGCAGCGTGGGATAGCTCCATGCACAACTCTCTGCTGCTTAACCGTGTCACCCCATACCGGGAGAAAATCTACATCACCCTTTCTGCCTACATCGAGGCAAGGACCTTAGTCGGGGCCATTATAATGCCAACAAAGTCTGGTATTTCCCCCACCATCGGGGTGCAGCCAGTGTGAACCCCTCCTTAGCTGGCACCAATGCTAATGGGGTGCAGGATTCAACCTGGTGCTTGGGGGCCCTGGGGGACCCCAGCAGTGGAAATGGCTGGCCACCAGGGGTGGGAAAGACCCGCTGGGCTCCCAGGCTGCAGCTCCCCTGACGTCTCCCCCCCTGCCCTGCTGCAGATGGAGAACTGCACTCAGCCCGCCGTCATCACCAAAGACTTCTGCATGGTTTTCTACTCCCGGGATGCCAAGCTTCCTGCCTCCCGCTCCATCCGCAACCTTTTTGGCAGCGGCACCCTGCGGGCTTCCGAGAGGTACCAGGATGCTCATGCCTTTCTGGGGGAGGAGAGCCATCATCTGGGGACTGGGGCGTCCCAGCAGCCTGGGCGAAATAACAGGGGCATGGGGATGGGGCAGAGCCAGTAACACCTCATCTCCCCTTGCTTGCAGCAACCGCGTGACAGGAGTCTATGAACTCAGCCTCTGCCGTGTGGCCGATGCCGGCAGCCCAGGTGGGTGCTGTGTCTCTGCCTGGGTGTTCACCATGAGGCCAGGAGGCACAGTGTGGTGGTTGGGGCTGTGAGTCTGTCCCCCCAGCTGTGTGTCTGTCCCCACAGGCATGCAGAGACGGCGCCGGCGTGTACTGGACACCTCTGTAGCCTACGTGCGGGGAGAGGAGAACCTGGCTGGCTGGCGGCCCCGCAGCGACAGCCTCATCCTTGACCATCAGTGGGAGCTGGAGAAACTCAGCCTCCTGCAAGAAGTAAGAGTCTGGGCTAGAAACGGGCCAAGATGGTGCAATTTGCAAGTCAGCCCCTTGCCCTGCCGGTGCCAGCTGGGTGTCTCAGCCCTCCCAGTTGTGGGAGGAGGCAGGAGTGGGGCTGTACCATCAGTGCTTGCTGCTAGCTGGGTCCCAGCAACCCGAAGCTAATGAGCAGATGGGCTTAATGGGGCCTGGGAAGCATGGTCCTCAAAAGGATGCTGGCTGGGGGAAGGGGCCCACCCCTGAGCCTGGCTGCCTGTGCCCAGGTGGAGAAGACTAGGCACTACCTGCTCCTGCGTGAGAAGCTGGAGACAACCCAGCGCCTGGGCCTGGAGACCCTCTCCCCCTGCTCCAGTGAGGACTCCGAGTCCCGAAGCACCTCCAGCATCTCCTCCCCGCTCTCTGTCGACGGGGCCCCTGAGGGCCGCATCTCTCCCACTGAGACCCCCAGTGAGAGGCAGAAGGAGCTGGCTGTGAAGGTACCATCCTGTAGCATCCCCAGCTTGCGGGGATGAAGTTAGGAAGCGGCTTCCACTGGGTGGGAGGGGGTTGCGGCAGGACAAAGCCCAAGAAGAGTGGGAGGAGGAGGGTGGAGGAAGGTGCCTCCTGCCCCACCATCATCCTCCTCTCTCCGCAGTGCTTGCGCCTGCTCACGCACACCTTCAACAGGGAGTACAGCCACAGCCATGTCTGCATTAGCGCCAGCGAGAGCAAGGTACTGCCGCTGCCTGGGCTCCACCGGGCTGGCAGGGGCCGGGAGGGATACGTGGCTGGTGGGAACTGGCTTGGCAGGGACCAGATGGGCACCATGGCCTGAGTGGTCCCTGCTCCGGGGTCCCTACTCCCTCCACTCACCCTGGTGTTCCTAGAGCTGTTGGCTCTCAGGACAGTGCCAGGAGAGGACCTGGCTGGCTGGAGGTCTTGCCTGTCCCTGTTATGAGCAGGCACCTGGTCCTTTGCCTGTGTCCGGCTTCGGGCAGAAACTCAAGTCCACACCTCTGCTTCTCCACAGCTGTCTGAAATGTCCGTGACCCTAATAAGAGACCCCTCCATGCCAGCTCTGGGGGTCACCACTCTCACCCCCTCCTCGACCTGCCCGTCACTGGTGGAAGGACGCTACAACGCCATGGAGGTCAGGTAAGAAGGTGGCCGGGACATTCGGGTGATGCCTTGGCATCCCTTGAGCAGGGCAGCTGTACCACTGGCATGCAGTCCTGGTCGACAGGTGTTCCCCAGCCATCACTCTTCCTACACCCCAGCCTCTCCTCCCTCCCCAGACCCCCCCAGATCTCCTCCAGGGCGGAGAGCCCTGACCTGGAGCCTGCAGTAGAAGGAGAGCAGAAGAAGTCCCCGGCCCGCCGGCCTGAGGAGGAGAAGGAGCCCCAGCGTTTGCTGGTGCCTGACATCCAGGAGATCCGGGTCAGGTAGGAGCAGCTGGGGCAGCCAGTGAGGGAAGTGCCTTGGGGCTGGGGGGAACCATGACCTACCATTGCCACCTCTTCATGGTCCGCATCCTACCTTGACCTCGGTCCCTTCTGCAGCCCCATCGTCTCCAAAAAGGGCTACTTGCACTTCCTGGAGCCCCACACCAACGGGTGGGTGAAGCGCTTTGTGGTGGTCCGGCGCCCGTACGTCTACATCTACAACTCGGACAAGGACGCGGTTGAGAGGGCCATACTCAACCTTTCCAAGGCCCAGGTGGAGTACAGCGAGGACCAGCAGGCCATGCTCAAGGTAGGGCGCCGGCAGCCAGCCCCACTCCGCACACCCCCTCGGGCAAGGGACTCAGCCCCAGCTCTCCCCTGGCAGACCCCGAACACGTTTGCGGTGTGCACGGAGCACCGGGGCATCCTGCTGCAGGCAAGCAGCGACAAGGACATGCACGACTGGCTCTACGCCTTCAACCCCCTCCTGGCTGGGTCCATAAGGTACTGGGGGAAGCTGGGGGAAGGGGGGTGCAGGGAAGCCCTTGGTGGGGGGTCTGCAGGCAGCCAAGTGTGCTCCCTGCCCTGTTCCCAGCTCTCCCTGTTGCAGCCCCCCCCAGCCAGGTGTGGGGAGCACCTGCACAGAGGTGTGCCTGGACAGGCTCTCAGCTGGCAAAACTTGGTCTGTATTAACCTTGATTTCAGCTTCTCCCCACTTAAATGCTTCAGTCTAGGGCCAGATCCCGGCTGGTACAGAGGCGTTGTTGTGCTGAGTTCAAAGCAACATCCATGCCTGGCAGCAGGGACACTGGCCCTTGCCTGTTCTTGAGAGCATCTCATGTAGTTCTTGAGAGCATCTCACGAAGTTCTTGAGACCATCTCAAGTGGCAAGACTAGCGGAATAGAAGTAAATGCACAGAAATTTGTGTGCTCTGGCTGAAGACACATTAATTCTGTGTCCCTCCAGCTCTGGCTGGATTCAAGCACCAGCCTGGAGCCAGGACACCAGACCCAGGGGACCACACCTCTCCTTGTCCACATCTCTGACCCCTTTTGTCCCTTGTTTTCCAAATCAGATCCAAGCTGTCCAGAAGGAGAACAGCCCAGATGAGAATCTAACCTGAAAAACACCCTCCACCTCATCCATCTGCCAACAGGATAAGATAGCTGATTCTGTCTCAAGACTCCCCATGTTAACGTCTGATCTCTCACACCATCTGCTGCCCCAGCTGTCTGCTCCATGGAAGGATCTGTCTCGATTCACATCTTCACGGGGGAAACTCACTTCCGTTCGTAGCTGCAAAAGCCTGGACCCACCTGGGCAGGATTTCTCATGCGCATGCCATCTTCTGCCTGTCCCCCCATGGGTGACCTTCATGTCACACCATCTGTAACGCTCTAGAAAGGTCCCTGTTAGAGGGGAGGGAGCGAGGAGGGCGGTTTCGGCTAAAAGCTGGTCTTTGATCTACAGAGGTGGGAGTGCGGTAGAGCTTGGAGGTGGAAGAGCAGGAGGAATTGCCTCCACGTGAAGGGAAAGTGGTAGTTTAGGTATGGGGATTTCCTAGTTTATTGATGTTTCTGCAAGAGATGGCAGGGTAAGATCAGGTGTCGGTAGTTTAAGATGATATTTATAAAGTATTTATTTCTATTTACGTCACAAAAATCCCATAAGTTGGGTCCTGGCCCCCAGACAACACCTCCCCCAGGCAGGGGAGAGCCTTGGCGGTGGGCCAGGGTCCCGGAGATGCCTTCCCCGGGACATCCCCGGCATATGCCCGGCAGCTGAGGTCTCGCCCTTGCTCCCCACCCTTCCCCAACCCTCTGCTTTGCCCCCCCTGCAGCTTAAACTACTCCCCTGAGCGGTGGCTGGACAGCCCACCATGTCTTCCCAAAGGAGGCAATTCCTACCTGCCCCATCTACCTCTGGAAGGGGGGGAGCCTACCATCTCAGCTGGCCGGGGCACCCACATCCATGCGGATGGGTCACCTTCCTTCAGAGCTTGGTCCTGCTGGAGGGAAAAGGAGGGCTCTGGGGACGGGTCTGCCTGTCACCTCATGCAGGGCTGTCCTTCCTGACCAAAAGCACACAGGCCACCTCCACTGTCCCAGCCTGGGGCTTCGTCCAAAGGGATTCCCCCCCTCTTAGGGCAGGATGCTAAGGGTCCCATCCCTGTGGGGAGTGTGGAGGTTCAAGTGGCTGCTTCCAAAGCCAGATGGGAAAGTTCTCCAGGAGCTGGGGTAGGAACGACCATCCTAATCTACAGGATCCTTGTCGCCCTTTCCAAAAAGGGCTGTCACATCCTTTCTCCTCCTAGCAGGACAACAGACTTGAAGCAGGTCGAAGCAGCATGGGAGAGCCTGGTGTGGGGGTGTCAGGGTGGGGATGGGACTTATTTTTACTGTTGTAGCTGGCGTTTTCTCACTCCTCTTCCCCTCCTGCAGAAGTGAGCGCCCACCTCCTTCCCATCCTGCTTCCGTCGGCACGTTAATCCAGGGGGCTTCCCATGGCGGAGGTGGCTTTGCCGAAAAGACCTTCTCCTCCAGCCATCACCGCTTCCCACCTTCCCCAGCAGCAGCTCTCCCTCTCCTCCTTCTCCCATCTCTCACCCATGGGGGGATGCTTTCATTCGGGGCTTCCTGAGTGGCCAGTGGCATCTGGCACAGCTCTGAGCAGGAAGGCGAGCATCTTCCTCCATGCATCTCCTGGGCAGCCCCCGCCCCCAGCTTCGCTGTCACGCCTTTGCAACTGACCTTCCCTCGCACGGCACTGCTGCGCCTTGGCTCTGCCGCACCTCCCTGTGCTGTTTGTGGAGTGTGTGTGTGGGGGGGGTGGTGGGTGCGTGTGTGTGTGTGTGTGTGTATCGGATGTGGTGCTGTCGTCTCCTTGTTACACTCGTGTCGTGGGAGGCACGGACAGGCAGGTGGGTGGAGGCTTGCAGGGACCCCCTCGTTGCATGTTGGGCGCCGTTCAGCTTGGGTTTCAGGTGGTGATGGAAAGGGTTTGGGAATCCTTCCTGAGTCGCAGCTGGTTCTGCCCAGCCTCGCCACAGCTCCTTGGGTGTCTCACCCCATCGCTCTGGCCCGAAGCCACAGCAGGGCTGCCTCTCCCAGCCCTGCTCCCCGGGCAGGCGGCAGCTTGCCTGCCCAGGACAAGCTCCCTATCAAGCTGGGTTATTTTCCCCCCTGTGATCCATTTTAGAGACCTGGAGGCTGACTTGCGCCCTTTACGGAGGGAGAGGTGCCCGCCCAGGGGTGTGGAGGGGCAGAGCTGGGGTGAAGCAGGGGCCCAGACTGCCACATCCTGGCTCCTCTGCCCTGGGCAAGGAGTGGTTGGGACCATCCCAAATTTCAACATAAGGGGCTTGGGGTGGAAACACTAGGTGCCCCAGGGGAGAGGGGAGGCTCTTCCAGGGTGGAGGCAGCTTCTGGCAGAGACAGGACCCGCGTCTGCCAGGGACCAGACACGGGTTCACCGGCCACAGCTGGGCGGTGCTGCCTGTGCTGCAGGCAAGGGGCGGCCATGGGCCGGGCGTCCTCCAGCCAGAGCCGAAATGTGCCTGAGGCCAGCAAACCTGCAGAGCAGACAGCTCGGCTGGGGGGCGCCGCACTGGGGGCCAAGGGCGACATGGCTGCTCACTGGATGCCCGCAGCATCCCTGCGGGACATCCCCGGCTCGCAGGCCACCGTTGTTGTCTTACCAGCTCTGCTCTCGCCAGCACCACACGTGTCCCCGGTCAGGCTCCCGTCCCCTCCCTCCCCGTCCCCTCTACCACCACAGCCCTCCAGGATGAAGAATGCAAACCTGAGGTTTACGCACGACTGTGAGCCCCATCAGAAGGGAAATTTCAGAGGGGACCGGTGGCATGGAGGGCGGGCGAGCGCCGGCAGGCAGGCCCGGGGCCTGCAGGAGGGAGGCTGTGCCCTTCATGCCCTCCGGTTCCTGCCGGCCATGGCAGCACCCCCGGGCTCTCCCTGCCCTGTGGCCGGGGGGTTGGCGCCTCCGGTCCTGGCCGTCCGCGCGCACGTGAGGCTTGTTCGGTTCTGAAATAAATGTGGTATTTAACGCAAACACCCCCGCGACACCGAGCTCTCCTTCCTGGGGCGGGTGGACAGGGCGGGTGCCTCCAGGCCGGCAGCAGCGACAGCGGGGAGGCCCCCAGTGGCCCGGGGCTGCGGGCGAGGGGGCTGTGCCGCTGTGGGGCCTGCTGGGCGAGGTCGCACGAGGCACCGGGCACCGGAACGGAGCCGCTCCTGGCGCCGCCAGGGGGCACCGCGCGCCCTTCCCGCCCTGCCGGGCACGCGGCGGGGACCCTCCCGCCCCCGCCAGCGATTGGTAGGCACAGCAGGGCGGTGCTGGGCACCGGCCCCCCCCCCCCCCCCCGCGGGTTGGGACAGCCTGGCGGAGCAAGGCGCGAGGCAACGGCACCGATTGGCAGGGCGGCCCCGCCTTCCGATTGGCGGAGAAGGCGCCGCGCTGCCTCCCGGCGGGGGAGTTTGACGGGGCGCCCCGCCTCCCGCCGGGGGGATTGACGGGCGCCTCGCGGGGGCGGGCCCA